AGGAGAGGAAGGCCCTCTATGAGGTGGATTCAGTGACTAGGATAATTGGGTTGGGAGTGTCAGAGACAGTGCGATTGGCACAGGACAGAGAGGAGTTTAGGGCTGTTGTACATAGGGTCGCTATGAGTCGCAGGCGACTCAACGGCACATAACAACAACAACAAACAACATTCTCTTAGCCTTTTTCTTTTTATCCTTACTAGCTTATTTACTTTTCAGTTAATACAGCCAGGGTTTGTAAGCTTAACACCGTCAGCATTTCTGGTTAACATTCTGTGAAATATACTATGCAGAGGTAACTCATGGTTGCTGTGAAACTGAACACTCTGAGACATGTGACAAATGTGAGAATGGTTACCCATGGTGGACAGTGTTTGTTAGAGCTCCCTGATTAAAACAAGCTTAGAAGCAGGGGTGGCATCCACTTCCATAACAACTTGGCTCTGGAAACCCTAAAAACCTGGAGAAAGAACTAAAGTTACACAGGTGTCCAGGTCTTTTGTTCATAGGTTTGCTATGAGTCGCCTCTGACTCAACGGCACTTCACAACAACAGCAGCATAGAGACAGTTCAGTTGGCCTTGTGGACAGAAAGTCATGCAACCAAGCCAAAGGTGGGTGACTCTAATCTGCAGCCCTCAGCCCTGCCTTTACTTGTTTTTGGTAAACATTCTTCTAGGTCGTATAACCCTGGTATGTTCACTTGCTGTACAGAGGTAACTCGTGGTTGCTGTGAAACTGAACACTGTGAGACTGATGTGTCAAATGCAAGAATGGTTACCCATGGTGGACAGTGTTTGGTGAAGCTCCCTGATTAAAACAAGCTAGGAAGCAGGAGTGCCATCCACTTCTGTAATAGCTTGTCTCTGGAAACCCCTATGAACCTGGAGAAAGGACGAAAGTTATACAGCCGTCCAGGTCTTTTGTTCATAGGGTCACTGAGTCGCCTCTGACTCGATGGCACTTAACAACAACAACAACAACAATCTACTACATAGTGCAGTTAGCCTTCTGTGTCGTGTGTCAACAGGTTCCACATTAACCTTGGATAAAAAAGGCAGAGAAGGCATCACGGAAAGTAATCTCTTAAGTGCTCAAAGTAATCCCTTAAAAACTAAGGCATAAGAAAGTTATTTACATAGCACTTATGCTGTATTATGAATCATAAGTAAGTAGAAATTATTTAAAGACTATGAGAGAATGGCATATTATATGGAAATACTATCCATTTTATAACAGGAGTGGCATCTACTTCCTAAACATGCCTCTGGAAACTCTATGAACTTTGATAAATGATGACAGTTACAGAAAAGCTCAGGCCTTTTGTTTATAAGGTCATTATGAGTCGTGCTCAACTTGACAACAAACAACAACATCCCTTTTATATGCGTATATTCACATTTTGATACCCACAGGAGTAACAAGCAATCTCCCAAGGATACTGAGGGATGACTGTATGTTTATATAGTCAATGTAACAAATTAAACCTTCCACAAGTTACTCTGGTTTTCTCTTAGCACCTAGGGTGGAAAGGAAAGTTCTGCAAACTTTCATCTGATGTGGCTGTTTCTGGTTAAGTAGGTCTCTAAACAGTCCTGTAGAGCCTGGCTAGAACCAAAAGCCTTAATGGACACAGAGGTAGTACCTGCAGGCCAGACCTGAATGTTTCCCCACACCCTATGATAAATATTAAAATACAGATAGGCCACTGGCCACTTCTTCTAGTGCTTTTCCAAGCAAACTACTTTCCCCCTTAGACTTCTGAAAGTATATTCAGTCAGACAATGTCCTAACAGACATTATTTGGCTCTTACCTGTACTGCTATGTTGGGGGGGGGGGGGGGGGGGGGGGCACGATATTTTTTACTTAAATGATTTTAATACTCTACTCTAAGGACACCACAATAAAACCTAACCAATATGCCCAATTTGATAAAAACATTTATATGTTAAAACTTACACAATAGCACCTGTAAAAGGTATAACCTGTTTAAGGAGCAAAAATATCAAGAAAAAGAAACCACAAGTATTTTCCACTAAAAAGAGCAACATAAAAAGTGGCAAGAATGTACATGCTGTCAAAAGGGGAAAAATGTGAGACCTAGAAAACTTGTGAGTCTGGTGAAGTTTCAACTTATATGTTTCACTGAATCGTTTATCTTTACAAGGATAAAAATATATGCAAGCAAATGGGATAAAAAAACAGAAGCTTCTAAAATTTGGTCTTCACTAATTTTCTAACTTTTTCTTAATAAAAAAACTAGCGAAAGTTACTGATGACTCTTGAATAAGTACATTTTAAAAATTTGTCGTAATTACATCCTACAATTCCATGTAAAAAAAAAAGTCAATCTTAACACAACCTAAATTCAGCTTCTACAAAAGCTATACAGTAATCAACAATTCAGCTTCTACAAAAGCTATACAGTAATCAATAAAATCTTGTTCAATTTTATAAATGAAAACCAATTCAATGTCGATTTTAACTACAGGAAATACACTATAATGGCCATGAAATTATTTAGTTTCAGGTTGATACAGATCTAGGTATTGGTGCACATAATTAGGTATCATGTGCTACCTAGACCTTTAATTGTTCCTGGGAAAAGTTAGACAAGGTTTAAGACTGTGTAGCTTAGAATGATAAAAGATTCTATTTTCTTCACCCTCTGTAACTATTTTAATTATTTTTTCCTAAGGGAGAGTAATATGAGAGCAAATTTAGAGGGATGTTAGCAGCTGGAGAAGATAGCAGAAAAGGGGAAAAAAATAGAAAACAAAATGGTAGGTCCAAGATTTTTATCAAGTCCACCAATAATAAATTAATGAATTAAGCTAGTAAGTACACATTATCAATTGAACTTGATTATCTCCATCTACTAAATTAGTACACTTCAATAAAGCAGACTGTGATAAGATGGGAAAACAAAAGAGTTTCTCCTTCAGATGCAGAGATGTACTGAATTACTGAGGTATTGCGGATTAAGGCAGCTCTACTCCTTAAAACTGGAAGCAAGAGTGGCATCCACTTCCTAAACAACATGCCTCCGGAAACTCTATGAATTCTGATAAATGATGACAGTCATAGAAAGGCTACAGGCCTTTTGTTCATAGGGTCGCTATGAGTTGTGGGGACAGCAATCACCAACAATCCTTAAAATGCTCCAAAATGAAGCATTTTTTTTTAAAAGTTCCAAATTAAAATTCTGAAATATATATTAAACATTATTATTATTTAGAAAGAAATATCTTAAGTGTTAAAGGATGGCACTATGTCTTATTCCTTATGTTCTTTCTATCACAGAGTAGAGTCAATCATAGCCATAATAAAGTTTGTTGTTTAGACCTAACAGATGCATTTATCCACACGTTATTGAATTACTGAATAACTACTTTTGCTGCTCACCATGAAATATTGGTAAACAGATACGGCTTCCTTTCTTCATGGCAATTATCAATTAAACATTTAATTACAAACTGCTTATTGTGTTAGGTACCACCAAGTCACCTGGCATTCACAGCAACCTTATGACCAACAGATGTGAACCTTGCTCTATCCTGCACATTTTCATCATCTCTGATATGCTCAAAAGTCCACTGTCCTAATCTTTCCATCAACCCTTACCAGCATGCCACCTTTTTCCAAGGACTGGCCCTTCCTGATCATCATCCTTGCCTCTAAGCCACTGACTGCACTTCTTCCAAGACAGATTTCTATGTTTTCTCTGGCAGGCTGTGGGATATTCAGTAATCTTTCTCCAACACCACAGTTCAAAAGCATCACTATTCTGTCTTCCTTTGTCACTGTCCAACTTTCAGGTGCATAGGAAGCAACTGAAAAGACCAAGGCTTGAATGAGACAGATTTAAGTCTTTAAAATGGCGTCTTTGCTATTTAGCATTGCCAGCAGGTTCTCCCAGTGCACAAGTAAAGGAAAATGACTGGTTATCCAAGTACAATGAAATTACTGACAACTTCAGTCTTTTGATAATAAAGTTGCCTCAACAAACTGTTTAAATATTACATAGTATATAGTGACTGATTTTTTTTTTAAGCTACTTAAGGGATAGGAAAGCTATTCTAAGGAATTAATACTAAGTATAGATTTAAAAGGATAAGAATTCTCAAGAAGTGTACAGCAGAGGCAGATTACCTAAAAAGCCACAAAGCATTTAAGAAGTTAAATGCGGCTATAGTATAACATGCCAGGAGCAGTGTAGAAAATTGATGACGGATGGCCACATTACAAAAAATTTGAATTTTCTTCTAGTAATGGAAAGTCACTGAAGAGCACTGGATAGGATATAGATAAGAGCCAATTTATATTTTGAACTCTGTTGTAACTAAATTGAAAATATGCTGAAGAGTAATAGCGAAAAAAATTATTTTAAAAATAGTCTAGAAACAATTGTGATTTGGACTAGAATGGTGACAGCTGAGATGTGCACAAGTCAGTAAAATATTTTTTCCTGGTAAACGTGACTAAGTTGATTTAGAAACTGGAATATAGGAATGGAAGATGACTTTTTTGTTTCTGACTTATGAAATAGGGTAGACCATAGCACCATTTTTCATAGATAAGAGGAAGACCAAGAAAGGAACATGTAGAAGAAGAACAACAAAAATAATAAATAGTTCTCTCTTAAATATTTAAAATTGTTAAGATGTCTGTTAAGCCATCAAGCAGTATTTAGAAAAGCAAAATCTAATACAAAGAATAAGTCAATGTTAAGATAAAATTAAGAAACACTGAACATATCAATACCATGGGATTATAGTACATTACCTAACTAGGTAATTTACAAAATTAGCAAGTACTTGGCTCAAATCTACTTAGCAAAGTACTCAATACTGGCCTCCCCAAAGACTCTGAATTCAGTATGTCTGGGACACTGCATTTCTTAGTAAGTTCCAAGGGTGATCTGATGCAGTTAACAACTACATTCTGAGTAGTAACCTAGACAAGATATGATCCAGAACTGAGGACTAGTCAACTTCCATATTTAGACACCAGATAAATGAAAGTAAATGGATCAGAGAAAAGTAGACAGTGGGGTACTCTAAAAGTAGGGTAAAAAAAAAAGTTAAAGATCAAGTGTCTTTCAAGCATCATTGCTATGGATTTGAAATACTCTTAACTGACCCTCCAAGGGGTTTTGGAAGGGTTTGTATTACATCGGAGGAGACTGTCCATCTCTATCCTGAGAATCAGTTGGTAGATTCTAATTGCCAGGGAAGTGCTACCGTTAGGTTAGGAGCACAACTCTCTAGGGATGATGCTACCAGGGCTCCCAGTCAACAACAAATAAGCAGTGATTTGTGTTGAATACCATCATGAACAAAAGAAAAAATGAGAAAAGTAATGAATGGTTACAACAATGGAAGTCAGTGGTCATCTTGATAGCGAAATAAAAAATCAAAATCAATCAATTCATGGGAAGTGAGAAAGCTGTTAAACACTCTAGAAATCTTACTCCGAAAGTGAATAAATAAAAGGAGCAGTGTTGCAGGAGGTGTGTCAAAGGAAATTTTGACCCAGACTCACCTTTTGCCAAATTCACGAATTCCATTATTTCACATAAGATAGTGACATTTTTTTAAAAGTCTTTTGCTTCACACTTTAAACATTTCAACCATATCCCCAAAGTTCTTTTTCAGTCTTTCCCCCCAAAACTCAAGAAACAATTTTCCCAGTAATTCCTCTCTCCATAAAATAAAGCTATGTAACCTCTTCACCCCTTAACTCTTATTAAATATTATTTACCCTTGCAAGATCCTCTATTTCAGAACGGAAGTTTGTTTCTCCTTCCATCATTTCTTCTTCTTCTAATGTTCGTTCATCATCAAAATCATGAACCAGCATGTCAGCTGACGGATCAAATTCATGGTCATCTGATGTTGCTGAACCTCCTGGTAAAGAATATTTTTAAAGTTTGGTAAACCAATTTAAGTAGATTGTATTATTATTAATTTAATGTACATGCTTTATTTGAAGTTTAATAAACATCAAATAACTGTAAAAATGGTACACAAAGCATTACATACTCTGATTCTCAAATTCTTGTCTTTATTATATCACACTAAAAAACTAAAATTTTCTTTAATTTATTTTGCCCTGTCCCACTCCTACATATAGTTATGATCGCAAAGCTAGAATGTGAGGGGGGCGTTTATAACGTCACAAAAATGTGCTGTAATCTTTAAAAATGAAACATTTAAGTTGTAAAGAATAAATAATGCTACCAAGTAGGAAAGATCTTTTTATGTGGGAATAATCAGTATTTTTAACCATTTGAATGACATCTTATAAATCCAATGAGTATCAACAGAACCTCTACTTCTGAGTAGTTATTGAAAAATATAGCTAAATAGATGGGAGTATAAAAAATAAACTCATACAAAGAAGTCACGATTTCTTAAAGGCATTAAAAATAATGTAGTAGGTAATTTATGCATAAACTAATCTGTTTTCAGCCTAGTGGTTGGAGAATATTGATGTACTCAATAGACTCAAGCCTTGTAATACTAGACTGCAAATGCTGGAGATATTTACATACTAAAATTGTGAATACATATACTGTAGCACATATTACTATGTCCTTAAGTATGTATGTGTGCATGTATACATACACACACCAAAAACTCCATAAACACTATAATTTATATTTTAAAATATGTCCACATTTTAACATCTTTAGTCCTTATCAGACACTATACTAGTGTACTTTTCAAATATTATCTCATTTAATTTTCAAACAATTCTATGATATAGGTATCTTATTCCTAAATGAGGGGAAAGGAGACAGAAAATTTGACATTTAAGAGTATGTCTAAATTCATAAAGCCACTAGTATGTAGCAAAAATGAAATGTGAATCCTGGACCCACTAATTCCAAAGCCAATGTTTTTATTGCACTCCAAGCTTTCTGGAAGCTAAAAGCCTTTGGAATAGCTATTATCTTGCCTCAAAGATCACTAAGGAAGAGAAAACATGCTTAAGGATAAGAGAATTACAAGCTAGTCACGTAACAAAGTACATTGACGAGCATAATACAATACAGATACTAAAAAGAAAATAAACTTAGCATTTTCTGCTAACTCAGGTGTCATCTTAGATTACAGAATACAGGAGTTATTTTAAAAATCAAAGTTTAAGAAATATTTGTGAGAGAAAAAGATTTATGAAAGTATATTCATGATCTTCAATTTCTTCCGGCAATAATGAAAGCACGGCATAGTTCCATTTGCTGAGCATTGTTGTCAGAAATGACTCGCAGATGCCCCTTTAAGAAGTTTTCAGAAGCATTAAACTGCACCAGAAGAGACTGTCCATCTTTCTCTTGCAAAGCAGCTGGTGGATTAGACCTATGTACTTCAGGGTTGGCAGTGTATGGGTTTATGTAGGAGCACAATTTGAAAACTATTTTACTTTGTCCATTCCTTCCAAGTTTCAAGTGGGAAAATATCTTTTCAGAAAGCTGGACCATGACTATGGAGGACAGAGGAGAACTGATGCCTTTGAGGTGCTGGAGAAGAGTATTGAGGGTATCATGGACTGCTAAGAAAACAAACAGATTCATCCTGGAAAGGTTTAAACCGGGCTGCTCCTTGGAGGCAAGGATTCTGAGGCTTCATTTGTCATACTCTGGACATGTTCTAAGGAGGGACCAGTCCTTGGAGAGGGACGGCCCAGGAGGGAAAGACCCTCTATGAGGTGGATTGATTCAGTGACTGGAGTCAGCGGAATGGGTGTATTGGAGACAGTACGACTGGCACAGGACAGAGCAGGGTTTAGGGCTATTGTACATAGGGTCGCTATGAGTCGCAAGCGACTCGACGGCACATAACAACAACAAAACATTATAGTTCACTTAAGACTCTTCTGTGACACTAAGTAGTCATTAATGATGTACTACAATAGCTGATGCAGAAGCTCTAGTGGTAAGGAGTTATGATAACACAAAGATAGGTGTTTGAATCCACCAGCTGCTGTGGGCCACCTCCTCCAGTGCAATTTACTGCTTCTGAAAACACAATAGAGATATAGAGGGTCAGCTATGAGTCTGACTCAGCGGTACATTAACAGAGCTGATGCTCTACCTTTTCTTCTCCCATATAGAAAGAAAACAAATACAAGTAAAATAACCCTTCACGTCATCACTTTATATTACACTATCTTAAGAACAGCAAGCTCTGGTGGCTTAGCAGTAGGGATTTGTGCTGCCAAGCCAAAGACATGCCTTTCAAATCAACCAGCTAGTCTCAGTACTAACTCCAAGGCAACTAACAACATTTTATGCAATTCTCATGCCATGTCAACATTTTAAGTATCAATGTTTCATTTTGGACAGTTTAGCACTTATACACTGGTGATCCCTCTCTTACCAGCTAAATTACCAAGCCTCAAAGTAAATAGCACTAAAGAATATCAGATGACTCACTAGAAATTATCTTATTCTGCTTTGATAAGCCATAAGTATCTCAAGTTTACCACTTCACATTTCCATTATATTAAATAATAAAATATAACGCACTTTCTTTACCTTCTCATCATAATTTCTTTTTCCAATATATACTGCACTGTTTATATACTTCTTTTTTTCCCCCCTGGCTTAATCCATTTCTTTATCTGAATCCTTTTCACTTCTTCTTTGGAATAAACAAAAAATTCTATTCCTTTCTGCTAATTACCAGGCTGTTAGGATGTCTCTCAAGAAAAAGAATGCCATTAATACAGATATAATAGCAAATTTGATGCTTTGTATAAACATTTTGTTACCAAGTTATACCAAATATCAGCTATTTGCCATAGATTTTCTCCTACTTCAAAAGTACTAAAAAGTTGACCTTTTCTAAGACTCAAGATTCACTCTATCATGTGTGCTCATTTTTAAAAAACCAAAACAATCCATCCACTACCCAACACTCCACATTACTAATGACTATCAATCTACAGGTAATAACTTGCTTTGTGCCTCTACTTTGATTCACAAAACAAAATCACTTAGGTGCCTTCTGGGTCAAAATATACTGGCATGAATTCCAAAATAAAAATACTCGAGAGGACACAGAATGTCACTAGAGAACCAAAACTGTTTTACATGAAGACACTACTTCTAATGTTCCCTACCCATTTTTATAATTCTTAACAACTGGTATTAAATAATAAGAACAAGAAACATTCTCAGAAAAAAAGTCTGATATTACAAATGTTATCTAACAGTGAGTGTTGTTTCCTTTTACTTGTGAGTGGTCATGAGCCAAAGGTAGATTAAGCAGCAGAAAATAAAAACAAAGGTCACCAAACAACTGTATTCTTCAAGTTCATTATTCTCCCTATTCAGCTTGTTGTAATTATTATTTACCATTGAGTCAGATCTCATAGCTGACCCCTAGCAGGTTTTCAGAGGCAGTAACTTGCACAAGGGGAGACTATCCATTGACTGTGGAGCAGCTGATGGATTCAAACTGCCTGCCCTCGGGTTGGCAGTGCAACTTCTTACCACGAAGCTATCAGAGTTCCAGCCAATTCCCTTTTCTTATTATGTACCATGGAGTTGGAACTGACAAATATGACCCTCCAGCAGATTTTCAGAGGCAGTAAACTGCATGAGAAGAAACTGCCTACCTTTCTCCCATGGAGCAGCTATTGGATTCGAACTGACTGCCTCTGTGTTGAGAGCACAACTCCCTACACACCAGGTCACCCTCAATTCATCTTAGGCTGATTCAAAAACAATTCAAACTACCTTAGTATCACTATCGGAGTAAACATTGTTATGTACTTGAATGCTGCCAAAAATCCAGTCAATTTATAATTATTACAACATTAATAACAATCAACAAAATTAAGTAAAAACTGTTATCCCTCCCTGGCCATTCTGTCAGCAGTTGTAGGTGGAAGGCCGGTTGACAACGAGAAGACGGTGGCTGCAAAAAAGACGAAAAAGTCCCTGGAGTCCATCAACTCTAGGTACCAACTTCTTATGAAAAGTGGGATATACATGTTGGGTACAAGCAGACTCTGAAGATGATCAGGCAAGGAAAATCCAAGTTGGTCATCCTCACCCACAACTGCCCAGTCTTGGCCAAAATTGGTGTCCATCACTAAAGTGGCAATAATACTGAACTGGGCACAGCATGCAGAAAATACTACAGAGTATGCACACTGGCTATCATTGATCCAGGTGATTCTGGTATCATTACAAGCATGCCAGAACTGGTGAAAAATCAATCATGTAATATTTTTCTTCAATAAAATTGGCCAGTTTGTTTTGAAATACAAATGAGAAATAAACATTTATTTTTTAATAGAAATTATTTGATAATGGAAAAAATTACGGGGTACAATTTTCATGTTCTAATAGAGACATACTACTCAAATACTTGAAATCAGTTTATTCTCCATCTCAATCATCCTGTACATATTCCTCAATCAAAAAACTCTTAACACACTTCAGCACACATTTTCAGCTGAAATAAAGATAAAATTAACCATCATTTGAACATACTAGTCATTTCAAAGGGCTCAGAAGTAATCTATTCCAACCTCTACTTGATATACTCAGGAGCAGATTACCCAACTGGCAAGGTAGACATGGGCTTACTTGTATTTACCTACCAATCTATCAAGCAATTTCACAACATCATATGATGTGACATTTCAAACAACATATTACTATGCCTCAGGGAGCACTCTTTCGCTTATTTCCTCAGCTATTTTGGGCTGCTGCTCAATCTGTACAATTAATACAGAACAAGGTCTTACATCTCTTGACAAAGACAACAGGCAATAAGGCAAAAAGAGCAGTATCTCATTCATTCCTCACTGCTATTTAGCTGACCAATTATTACCACACAAAACACTGTAATCAGTGGTCGGGGATTCTCTGAATAATTATGGGAAGCCAAAACGTGGATATTAAATATTCTAATTATCATGAAACTGGGCAGAAAGGTATCTGTGGCCCATATTTCAGACAAAAATCACAATGATTTCTAAATTAAGGGGAAATTATAATCTATACTGTATTTGGAGAACAGAGAAATCCTAGATACATGTTGTTGTTTGGGTATCTTCAAGTTTGAACCCACTCATAGCCAAAGCCTCTCGTGGCTTTTCAGAGGCTGTAAATTTCACGGGAGGAGACCAGCCATCTTTTTTTCTATGGAGCAGCTGGGGGAATCAAAATGAGTACCTTCGTGCTGGCAGCACAGTTCCTACCACTCGGCTACCAGTCAGCGTTTGCTCAAGTTTGTTCTTACTCAAATCTTCCTTAATTTACTGTATTAAATATTGTTGAAACTTTGTTTTCCTTCTCTCATTAAGTATGTTTTATATATAAATTACTTCTCTGAATTTCCTACACAAGCAAGTATTTCTAATCTAATAAATGTTTCCTTTTCAAAAATCTTATTTAATATATGGCAAACAAATAACTTCCTTAAAAACTGTAGGTATACGGCAAATTCAAAACAGAAGAGAGTAAACCCAAAATAGTCATGAAGATGAATTCACAGCAGCCTCACCTGTACTTTCATGGGCAGTCAAAAATTTCATCCAGTTCTTTTTCCCCAGAGAAAAGAAGCATTCAGAAGAAAAGCAAATCAGATAGATGATAGTCTAACTTCTCTAGCCTTTATGCAACTAACAGAACAAATTAAAAATTTAAAAAAAAACACCATCACACAACCCAGAAGGTATTTACTTACCTGGACTTGAAGACTCAACAGATGGCTGAGGAGAGAAAAGAGGAAACATTAGCATTTTTGTGCTATAAATCTTAATTATTACAGTAATGATTCAATGACTAACAGAGCAACAAACATGACATTTTCTGTTAATATTTTAACTGCCTAAAACAAACTAAAGCCATGAATATAATCTTTCCTGACTATTTAAGCATGAGATAAATTTTAAAAACCCTCCTGAATTGGGGCACAAAGGAGAGGGAACCAGTACTTAGAAATCCCTGCATTTCTATATATAGTGACGGAAAATTCGGCAATGCATTTTGGTGATAGTTGCATTCTGTAATTGATGTTACTAAATTGTACTTGTGAAAACTGGCAATGGTTGTGTTACTTTTTCTTTTCAACAACAGTAATAAACAACAACTTTTGAACATGGAAACAAAGACATTAACATGGAATGGATTCAGATTTTAAAGACAAAACATAAATCTCATAATGTATGTGGTTTAAGAAGTATGACTTTGGTCATGGGATTTTTTAAAATAGATTTTCACCAAGCAGTACATGAAAAACTACACAAAAGGGTTGCTAACAAGCTGTTCTCTGGCTTAAAATGTATATAAAGGACGTGAAAAAATTTAAGATATAGAACTAAATATAAAAAAGAAAGTTGAAATACAAATGAAAATGTTACTTAAGTATCAAATGGTATACTGGGTTAACTTTACTATTAAATAAAACCTCTATTAGCTGACTTAGCACTCTTTCAAGCTATCTCTAAAGAGCCCTATGGATACAATGGTTTAAATAGGCAGCTGTTAATCAAAAAGTCAGCCAGTAGTTCTAGTCTACCAGCAGCCCTCCAGGAGACAGATGTGGAAATCTACATCCACAGTGCTTTATAACCTTGGAAAACCTATTCAAGAGTTCGACTATTGGGGAGGGGTGGGAAGGGAGAAAACTGCGACAATGAATGAATGGAAATCCAAAACCTCTGTAAAAAAAAAAAA